TTGGCAAGGTTTTATTCATTTCCAGTTATCCTTCATGCATAGAACATCGGCAGCATTACCTCAGTTGACCACTATGGAGTACTATATCAAGTGGGAGACACCGAGTTTTATGCGAATTTTGATAGAAAATTAAATGCACGATCTCATATGTTCTGTCTTAAATCTAGCTTTCAATTTGAAACTTATAGCATCTTAGTTCGTAATTTTTACAGGATACTACAATGCCCCTGTGCAAATTCGTTTTTTGTGCATTGTATATTGTTCACCAACCAGTTTTGCTGGAAATTGAAAGTGAGAATTTATATTGCAATTTGATTGTCAGATTTGAATCACAATAAAAAAGTTTCTGTTTTTTTTTTTTCTGATAGTCCCGGTAGTTTCCACGTGTCATTTCATAAACAGCTCATCGCGAACCACACTGGTTTACATTTGTAAATTGAGTGTTTTACTATTTTTTCATTGACTTTATTTAATTTTCTTTTTAATTAAAAGAAGCAACTAATTCCTGTATTCTGCTATTTACCAGGTCTCTCTCCAGAGATTACACATTTTAGAGGTGGCATGTCTCATGATATATGCATGATTAGGCATCCACTGCAGTGATGTACTCAGGGAATGAGCGAAGCGGATGTCTGTTGCCTTATTGCAGAAGGATGGGGAATAGGAAATGAGGGAAGGGGCCCTAAATCATCGACTCGAGAAATTTGAGGTGAAAGGCACTAGCTGAGGCGGAGTCAAAATTTTACCAAAAATTTGTTATTTTGTTATTTTTTAACAGGAAATACTAGTATGGACTTAAAAATTGGCTAGCTGGATTACATAGCGAGGTTTAAAGTTATAACTGTGTGAAATTTTTATGTAAAATTGAAAGGGGCACGAAAGTTGATTGCGGGGGATTCAGGACCGTCGTGGTTTTAGCCATGGGTCACCAAAATTAAGGCCTCCCCTATCAGAAATGGGCTGGGCCTTTGATCCACTATGACTAGCCTTAGTTGGCAAAATAATTAGCTTTAATTGCAGATTTTGTAGAATTTTGCATATTTTCAAATTCCTAACATTCACATCCGGCTTGTGGTTCCAGGGGCAATTTCGGATTTTTCGTTCATTGTTGGCTCCGAGGATTTCGGTGGTTCCTTGCTTTTACAGGCCTAAGAAACAAACTCTAAACCAGCCCCATGTCATTAGACATGTCAGGCTTGTTTACTATGGAATTTGAATTGGCGTGGGACTGAGTTTGTGAAGTGATGAACTTCAGAGTACAAATGCCTCTCATTTCTTGTTTTAATTAAAAAGACGAGACGCTATTTAGGGCGCTGGACATTTCTGGCCACGTCATTCAGTCGTGTCATGTTTCATGTGCTGCTGCTCTATTCTGTTTTTCCTTGCATTTTATATTAAGCTTTAAAATCATTAAATAGTTAATTAAATTTTACAATTAATTC